GAGATGAGAGCATTCCTTGTATACTACCAAAGAGGCCCTCTGGCTTTCATACTTGGTTTTAAAATGCTAGAAAACTGCCTTCAGCATTTCATTACCGTTCTCAACAGCATCAATGAAGTTTAGCAATAACTACCCAATCCCATTGCATTTGTAATTATTTCCTCAAATGCCTGATGCATTGTACTAGCTAATGCATTCCCTTGGCCAGTACCCCCCAGCAAAACCTTTAACAATTAGAATACCAGGGTTATTTTTGTTCCACCAGTGATACGGGTCTTTGGGGTAGGGGAAGCTTATCCTGGCAGTGATTGATGTGCTTCAAAATACTGAGTCCTTGTTTATTTTTCAGACTATCCCTAGACCTGGACAGCAAGGAGCTTACCTATTAAAAAAAAAAAAAAGAAAAAGAAAAGGTGTCATCTGAAAGGGATACTTTGTAGAAACTCAATTATTTTTGAAAACATGTATCCCTTTCCTGGTCACTTAAATAGGTGATCAGCCTGGAAATTGTGACAATAATAGGGATGGTGGAATCTGCACGTCAGCCAAGGCTAAGTCCTTCACAGGACCCCTGTCCCCTGCTGATGTTCTCAAAGGAGAGCACATTTGAAGGAGGATTTTATTCCTCCATTTGCCTGCCTCAAAAGCACTGATCAGAAATGCAATCACTTTATGATTTAAAATTTAGATATTAGGGAGAAAGCTCTGAATATTGCCAGTAGAGACATTCCATGTCTTAACTGAAATTTAAGAAAAGACATTTTGAAAGTATATTAGATGTTTTGGCTGAGCCACAACCTTCAAACAGCAAATGATCTTTGCTACAGCTTACAGAAGGCCTTTAAAATGGGTTCTGGAGTTTTATTTTCTTCATCTTGCGTGTGGATAATTGAATTGCAGTTTGCTAACTGAGACGGCACTAGTGAGTTTCATGTGTGCTGTTTTAACATTTTAAAGGGATCTTGGGTTTCTTTAGCAGAAGGTTTCCAAAAAGTATATTTTTAGACTGATAAATTATTATAGCTTCTGTGGTTAGAATTAAGCCTATTAAAATCTTTAATGACCTTTAATTGACTTTTTTCCTATTACTACTCTAGACTCTCGATGGTGTAGTCAAGAACACTATTTCTTTAATAATAAGAATTTATTGAACACATACCATGCCCTAAGCATTATTTAGAATATTATATGCATTATCCCATTTAATCTTAATTTACACAGAGGAAACTAAGGTTTAGATAATTTGAATACTGGACTCATGATTTTTTTTTTTTTTTATTTCAGGGTATTATGAGAGTACAAACATTTTGGTTACATTTTATATCTTTGCCTCACCCTAGCCAGGGTTAGAGGCATGCCCCTCCCCTCTACAATGTTCACCATGTCCTTTAGTTGTGAGTTTATCCCCAAGCCAATAATCCCTGGAGAATATTACTACTGTGTGAGTAACATAGTGTTGATCAATTAGAGCCAATTTGATGGCAAGTACAAGTGGAGCCTATCCTTCTGATCTTGTGATACCTCACTTTGGATAATGGGCTCAAGCTCAATCCAGGAAAATATAAGAGGTGCTAGATCATTGTTGTTTCTTATAATTGAGTAATATTCCATTGTATACATATACCACATTGTAATAATCCACTCGTGAATTGACGGGCACTTGGGTTGTTTCCACATTCTTGCAGTAGTGAATCGTGCTGCCAAAAATATTTGGGTGCAGATGTCTTTATAATAGAATATCTTTTGCTCTTTTGGGTAGATGCCTAATAGTACTATTGCTGGATTGAATGATATTTCTATTTTTAGCTCTTTGAGGTATCTCCAAATTCTTTTCCACAGAGGTTACACTACTTTTCAGTCCCACCAGCATTGTAAGAGTGTTCCTGTCTTTCCACAACCTTGCCAGCATTTGTTGTTTTGGGATTTTTTTTTGATAGAGGCCTATCTCACTGTGGTTAGGTGATATCTCATTGTGGTTTTGATTTGCATTTCTCTAATGATTAGAGAAGTTGAGCATTTTTTTATATGTTTGCTGGCCATTATTCTGACTGGAACCATGATTGTTCAGGTGGGAAGGGATGGTGCTGGACAGTGAACTTGGATGAGTATGTCTAAATCCAGTGCTCTTAAACCATCACGCTAAAATACTGCACATAACATTGTTACCTCTTTAAATTCTCAGCTCCTAACATAGTGTCTGACACTTTGAATACTCAAATTTGTATAAAATAAATATTCATAGAATTAAATGAAACTGTAGTTCTGAGGAATGGTCATTAAATTTAAATACATAAAAAGAATTACTTGGATACACTGGTCACATTTTAAAGAGCTCTTCGATAAACTGAACATATTAAATAGTATCATTTGACAAGTTTGATGTATGTGTACTCCCACAAAACTATGACCACAGTTGGGAAGTGAATATCTCCATCACCTGGAAAGCTAACTTGAACCATGTTAGAATTCTTCCATCCCACTCTCTCCCCATCCTAAGACAATCACTAATCTGCTCTCTGTCACTATTGATTCATTTGCAAAACTAGAATGTTACATAAATTGGAATATAACACATAGTTTTTATCTGGATTCTTTTACTCAATATAATAATTTGGAAATTCAGCCATGCTGCTGCATATATCAACAGTTTATTTTTTTATTGCTGAGTGGTAATCTAAGCAGTAAAACATAGTATGTATGTATATGACATAATTTATCAATTTACCTGATAATGGACATGTGGTTGTTTCTAGTGTTGGCTGTTATGAATTTAGCTGCTATGAACATCCATGTACATGTGTTTATATAGATACATGCCTTTTTTCTTCTCTTGGGCATATTCCTAGGAGTATAATGGCTGAATCATATGATACATGTGTGATGAACTTTTAAAGAAACTGCCAGATTGTTTTACAAAGTGGTTGTACCATTTGCATTCTCACCAAGTATGTGGAGAGGTCCACTTTCTCTGTATCCTCAACAGCACTTAATATGGTCAGGTTTTGTCCATTAAAAAATTTGTTTGTTTTCTTGTTATTGGGTTTTAAGAGTTCTTTATATATTCTTCATATAAGTACTTTATCATATATAAGTTCCTCAAATATTTTTCCTAGTGTGTGTCTTGTCCTTTTATTGTTTTAATAGTATCTTTTAAAATACACAAGTTCCTAATATTGATGAAATTCTATTTATAATTTACAGCTACCAGGGTCTATTTATGGTGTAACCATTGACCCCTAGCTTCCAGGAGTAATATGAAAAAAATACAGAATAAGTTTAGGATTTTTAAACTAGCACAATTCTAGGAAATTTTATTGATCTATGGCATCTAATATGCTATGGAACTTAGGCAAGATCCCAGTCTAGGCAGAATTTGGCAAGAAAAAAAAATGTCCAGAGATATTTTTTAAGCTACTAATGTTAAAAAAACTTGCTCAATATTCTTCCAATTCCATTATTCTTTTGTCATTCTAGGCAAGTGAAGTGGTCCCTCATACAATATTAATAGTGCTTTGAATAATCACTCTAGTGCTTTACAGAAAAATAGTACATATTAGTGTGACTAATTCCTATTGGGGATTCTTGAGATATCAGTAATAGGACAATTATTTGATAGACACAAGGAACAAGAGAAAACTACTACTCAAAGTAAAATAAAGCAAAACAAAATTTAAAAATTTGTTTATTCACAGGCATCATGCCCAGAAGATGCTTAAATTTGGGAGTGAACCAGAGAAATTCACTCTTCTCTCAGCACATATATCTGATTTTATTTAACAACAACAACAAAAAAAACCCAAGACATTATTAATATTGTATATAAATAGAATTACTATTATAATTACCTTTAGGAAATTGATTCTCCTTCTTATTTTGTGGGATGGGATACAACTTTTATTGCATTTTAATTTGTCTTCATCATAGACAGCTAATGCTTTATAAAACTAACTCTGTGCCAGGTAATGGTTGAGATATTTTAGGTATAACAACTTAGTAAAAATAATCTTATAAAGTAAGCAATGGTACTATGCCCTTTGAAAATGGAAGAAACAAAGGCAAAGAGAGGCTAATATATTTCCCAAATAATTGGCAAAGCCAGGATTCAAATTCAGGCAGGGTGGCTTTGAGTCTACACTGCTAATGGACCTTCACTTCTGCTTACCAGAGGTGATGTGCAATGATTACCGGCCTGATTGAATTATAAACGCGTTGAATACTAATTAGTATTGTGGGAGCTTCACTTCAATCAATACATCAATACTTATTTATGTGCTCACCAACTAAATATTTTACTTTAGAATTCTTGAGGATGACATGCTTTATGTAATAGCATAGGTGAAGGGATGGTAACAGAAATTTGCAAAAGTTTTAATAATCTACAGAGAAGTTCTGGCTCTACTCTGATTTGTGTTTCTTCTTCATTCAGCATTTCTGTTTGTCTTTCTATAAATTTTTCCTTTACTTCCTCAATTTGTTGGTGAAAAATACTTTCATTCAATATAAAAATTGGAGTTTAAAAGATACATACTATTTAGTTAATGACTAAGTTAGATGTAGTTTTACTTGGATTACATAGATTGTATAAATATGTATTTTTTAAAGAAAGGAGCATCTTCAAAAGGACTCGATAGATTGTATGACTCTTCAGAAGTTTGAGAGACTAACATAACAATCAGAGACTTGAGTATATTGAGAGGAATATGACAAATGTTACCAAAGCTTTTAAAATAAAAATAAAATAACCAGCTAATAAAATGAATATTTTTTTATCCTTGTAAATAAACTATGTGAGTATTCACTTAGAGAATACAATATTAAATGAAAAAAAAAAAATTGGAGAGGCTTTGCTGAAATCGGCCACTTCACTTTAAAGGTTTTTAAAAAGTTTTCTAGAAAGTAACCTAATTGAATTAATTTTCTTACCAAAATAACTTTATGTACCCAAGATTAAATGAAAATAATAGTAAACACTAAGGAAAACTATGTTCCTTTAAATCCAGAGACAATTCAGAAGAATCCTCTGCAGTGTGTAAGAAAGGTGGCTACATACTGAAGACCTACACGATCGTCTGGCAACCTCATTGACAGCTTCATTAAACATTTCATTCTACATCACTGACATGCAACTGATTTCCTCTGAGGTTGCAGAAAAACCATTAGGCTTTCATCAAAATGAACTTGATCTCTTGCCCAGCTCTCCACATGCTGCTTCTACCCTGTACACTGCCACTTCCATGGGAATTAGAGTCAACCTGAAGAAGCATTTTGCCAGGGAGAGTTACTAATTTCTGGCCAGAGAAGGTGGGAAAAAATGCTAATCATTTTATTTCATGAGCCACTGAAAATAAGAACAAATATCTGTGTAAATTGTCATTTATACCATTAATTGTCATTATACCATTAATTGTCATTATACCATTAATCTAGAGCAAAGTTATTGGCTTGGCACTGGGATGGGCACCCTTGAGGCTCTATCCAGCACTACCACCTATGTTAAATCCTGCTGCCTTTTCCTGATAGGGTCTGGCTACCTTTGAGCTTTTGTATGTCTGTGCTAACTCACTAACATCTGACACTCAGACCATGTGCAGCTGCTGAAATGCCCTGGAGTTGTGTAATGTGGTAACTTACCTGTGCTATGCTGTGTTCTTTTTTCATTTTTTAATTTTTTTTATTTCGGCATATTATGGGGTTACACATTTTAAGGTTTCAATAAATGCCCATTCCCCCTGCCCCCCACAAGTCTGAGTCTCCAGCATGACCATCCCCCAGATGGTACACATCTCACTCATTATATATGTATATACCTGCCCCCTTCCCCCCTCCCCCCTTCCCAATACCCTATTACTGTAGTACCTATGTGTCCACTTAGGTGCTGCTCAGTTAATACCAATTTGCTGGTGAGTATATGTGGTGCTTGTTTTTCCATTCTTGGGAAACTTCACTTAGTAGTATGGGTTACAGCTCTAACCAGGAAAATATAAGATGTGCTATATCACCGTTGTTTCTTAGAGCTGAATAGTACTCCATGGTATATATATACCACATTTTATTAATCCATTCTTGGATTGATGGGCATTTGGGCTGTTTCCACAGCCTTGCAATTATGAATTGTGCTGTTATAAACATTCAAGTGCAGGTGTCTTTTTTGTAGAGTGTCATTGGATGTTTTGGGTAGATGCCCAGCAATGGGAATGCTGGATCAAATGGTAGATTCACTTGTATCGCTTTAAGGTATCTCCATATTGCTTTCCACAGAGGTTGAACTAGTTTGCAGTCCCACTAGCTGTGTAGGAGTGTTCCTCTCTCTTTACATCCACGCCAGCATTTATTGTTTGGAGACTTTTTGATAAAGGCCATTCTCACTGGGGTTAAGTGATATCTCATTGTGGTTTTGATTTGCATTTCCCTGATGATTAGAGATGTTGAGCATTTTTTCACATGTTTGTTGGCCATTCTTCTGTCTTCTTTAGAAAAGTTTCTGTTCAAGTCCTTTACAAAAGAAAAATGCTTCACTCTCTTCTTGCGTTGCACTCAGTGAGAGGTATATACTAGTGTGCCTTTGTATTCCAAAATCTTCCAGAGATATTTATAAAAATGACATTTTTCATTTTTCTTTCTTATATCCCTACTTTCAATAGGAAATAGGAGAAGCATAAGCCCAAGCAGCTTTATTGCATGAGTCCTTACATAATTTTTAAATTTATTTTTTCTTCTTAAGAAATTCCTTTTTAGAAGCTTCTTAGTACTTCATTTTAGCATCAAATGGATACAGTTTAGATGATGTACCTTCTGCAGTCGCTGTCTCTGGTGGTGCTGTGTCCAATGACTGATGTTGGCAACCATGGTTTGGTGGTTCACAGTAATGATTATTCATTGCTTTATCCCACAGAATGATGAGACTTTAAGTGTGCAACTTTAGTGCCTTGTAATTGTGAATGATAGCAATTGCTCTTTGACTCTGCTTGTGGATTGACTGCTGTACTTTGTATGGAGACAGTGCTAGCTTACTTTCTAACACTGGGAATATTGTGAACATATTTTCTAAGCATTCAGAAAAAGAAAAATCTAAACGATTACACCACCAATGCCAGCATGACCCAGGCACTCCTGAAGAAAAAGGCTAAATGACTGTGTTATTTCAATGACAAATAGAAGGACATATATGACAAAAACAGAACATTTATGATTGGGCATAGTAAGAAAAGGAGATGGAAGCACACAGGGAGACTGAACCTCACGAGTCTTAGATGAGACAGGCAAATGCATCCAAACAAAAAAGCAAACGGATTTTGTCGTCCCAAAAGACATCAGTTGAAAATAGTGACTGCTGAATTAGCTTGGGAATACCACTCTAATGAACCTGCATTATCATATTGTTCCCTTGATTAATCTATGAAACATAGGAAAGTTACATTTCCTGATTTAGAAGTTACAGTTAAAATACCCTGTGGAACCATAGGGGAAATTCTTTTTATCACAAATGTGTTAGTCCCTTATAATAGAAAACTAATTCTGTCAGATTTTACTGGGTAGTTTGTTTTTTAGCACTGAAAATATTGTGACAGTGTTTTCATGTGCATATGCTGAATTGAAAATATTTTTTCTCTTAATGGAGGAATTAAGCTCATTCACGTTTGTTTTTAGGACTGATGGGTTTAGTTTCAACCATAATTTATAATTAAACAAATTGTTTTTTGTTATATTTACTATGCTTCTTTATCTAAAGGATGGGCATTCTTTGCCTTTTATTTAATAAAATAGATATTTAAGAAAGATTTATTGTCGGGGCTACCTTTGTACTTATATCCTTTTTAATGACTTTAGTCCCCTGTTTTCTTGTTTAATGTTTTACTATCTGCTTTATCAATTTTGGAGGAGTATCTTTTTTTTTTTTTTTTTTCAAAATCAGCATGTGAGTGTTTATTGCAGATGTTTCAGTTACCAAAACGTAATCAAAATGCCCTTCAGAGTTGAATGGATAAACTGTGCCATATCCATACAATGGATATTATTCAGTTATAAAAAGAAATTATTTATCAAGCCATGAGATGACATGGAGGAAACTTAAATGCATATTACAAAGTGAAAGAAGGCAATCTAAAAAGGCTACATACTGTATGATTCCTGTTACATGACATTCTGGGGAAAGTAAAACTGTGGAGACAGTAAAAACATCAGTGGTTGCCAGAGGTAGGGGGAGGGAGGGACAGGCAGAGCAAAAAGGATTTAGGGCAGTGAAACTACTCTATATGAACTGGAATGGGAGTTACAGGACACTGTGCATTTGTGAAAGTCCATGCAACTGGAGAAAAGAAAGAGTGAACGCTTATGGAAAGAATGGACTGTAGTTAATCATAATGTATCAAAATCAATTCATCAATTGTAACCAAGGTACCACACTAATGTGAGATGTTAACAATAGGAGAAAAAGAAGAGTATATGGGAACTCTTGTATTATCAGTTCAATTTTCTGTCGACCTAACTTTTCTAAAATATAAAATTAAATTACTGGGCATCTACCCAAAAGAACAAAAAACACTCTAGAAAAAGACACCTGCACTCAAATGTTTAGAGCAGCACAATTCACAATTGCAAAGATGTAGAAACAACCCAAATGCCCATCGATACATGAGTGGATTAATAAAATGTGGTGTATGTATACCATGGAGTACTATTCAGCTTTAAGAAACAATGGTTATAGCACCTTTTGTATTTTCCTGGATAGAGCTGGAGCCCATTCTACTAAATAAAGTATCTCAAGAATGGAAAAACAAGCACCACATGTACTCACCAGCAAATTGGTTTCACTGATCAACACCTAAGTGCACATATAGGAATAACATTTATCGGGCATCAGGCAGGTGCAGGGGGAGGAGATGGGTATATACATACATGAGGGCGATGCGCACCATCTGGGGGATGGACACGCTTGAAGCTCTGACTAGGGGGGCGGGGAGAAGGCAACACACGTAACCTAAACATTTGTACCCCCATATTATGCTGAAATTAAAAAAAAAAAAAGCTTCCTTCTAATTATATAGCCCTCTGATCTCTGATACTGTATTCCTTGAGTGCAATGAAATGAACTCACCAAAGAATTGTGGGGTTTGTGGAAGTTAGAGTGGGGGCTGGGCATGAAATGATAAAAGTTTGTTAATTTATTTGGCCTTATTTTGGGGGTTTGGTTAAATGTATTCTCAAGATGGAGGTACAGTGAGGCTATTATTTCTTGCTAAAGAAAGAAATTAGCAAGAACATGGGCATTAATTAGAAGAATGTGGGCCAAAAGTTAATTTGTTTCCTGTCTTGGGACATGTTAGTATTTCCTTGGCACTTCACATTCCAAGCCAGCACTTCCTTCCCATCGGCACACCTAAGTGCCGTCGTCAGTGGCACTGGCACTGACAACAAATAAACATCTGCATTTCCCAGTGCTCAGTACTCTCAGTGCTCATCCCCAGAGCAAAACCTTTCAAAGGAGGCTGCCACGTGCTGCAGGAGGAAGGGAGCCTCTCAAGAGTGAGTGCAATGGTTTTCTTTTTAGAGGGTGTTTTATTATTCATTACTCATCACTGAGACTCTCATCTCAAGTTCCTGAAAGACTCAGCTTTGATGGAATGTGAAGCCAAGCCCTCCACTTGTGAGCCATTCAGCACCGCCTGCAGGAAAACCAGGTTGGATAACAGTGTCTGAGCCTAAGGGAAAGTTCTTAGCTCCCAGGGCCTCCTCTGGTGGAACCCACTAGCCAAAGGCATAATTTGTGTTCACAGCAGAATTAGTAATGGCTAATAGAGAGACTGAGTTCTCTTAGCTTCATCAAGAACTCATTCTGCCATTTAAATGACTGTGTTCCCTTGGCCTGAGTTTCTCCATAAGTGAATGGGGGATTCTGCCCCAGATATAGGTGTTGATTCCCTCAGAACAAAATCAATATGACAATTAAGTAGTGCACAGCCCGTTCAGTGACTTCAGGAAAACTATAAGCAGTTTGTAAAGGCTTTGATTCCTATTTTGATATGCATAATGTCACAAATACGTGTCACCCTATTACTAAGGTTAAAAAAATACACAGTCACTGTATACCACGTGGAGTAATGTTGGGCATGAATTGTTCCTGAGAAGTCGATGGCTTCACAGTGGTGGACTGGAGACCAAGCAGCAGCGGGGAGCAGGT